TACTTTGAGAGGTGGTGAGTGCTCCAATGTTGAAGGCATTCAACGGAAAATTAGATAACTACCTGTCAGTTGTACTTTGGATTTCTGCAGTGAGTAGGGGTTGGACTCAATGACCGTATAGGTCCCAATTCCTTATTCTATGACTCTACAATGTGCTGATTCATCACTCTATTATAAGGAACTTAAGACTGAGATTAGTTTCCCAAGACCATCAGATGTTCTCTTGGGTAACCAATACCCCACAAAGTGGTGGATTCCAGTAACCCATAGCTAGCCCACTTCTAATTTAAGATCCTGTTACAGTGGACCCTCTACTTACGGAATTAATCCGTATTGGAATGGTGGCTGCAAGTCGAAAAGTCTGTAGGTCGAATCTCCATTGACCTACAATGCATTGAAAACCGATTAATCCCATAACCGGCGGTTTTTATTCTATTTTTGTTCCATTTTGGTTTTTTTCTGGTCTGTAAGTCGATTCTCCGGCTGCAAGTCGAATCTAAATTTTGCAGCCAGAGAAGTCTGTAACTCGAAAAGTCTGTAAGTTGAGCCATCTGTAAGTCAAGGGTCCACTGTACTCTTCTGTCTATGCTCTGCTTCCCTGCTCCTTCCACTCCCCAGTTGCATCAGTCTCTTTTTTGCAAAATGAAGTATACATTAAAATGTTTCTATGACTGTAAGTGTTACAATTCATGTTCAGCCATTTCTGCAGATGTAATAAAGCACATCTTATTGTGTTTGACACCTCAACAGAGGGAAAAAATGGAGCAGAACTGTTATTGTAGGGGTGGACAAAGTGCAGCCTCCCATTTCTTGTTGGATCCAAACTCTTGGCTTTCCTTGCAACTGGCCATCAGGGCCAGCTTGGTGACTGAGCAGGAAGGAAAAAGGTGCCCTGTCCTGAAATGGAGACAGGAAGTGACCTTTCTGCTCAGTCCTTGAACTAGCTATGTGAGATAGGACTGTAGAAGAACATCTAGAAGATTGGATTTTACCAGTCCCTGTTGTTTAGCATACTTTTTGTTTAATAATTTCAACATTAATCAGGTGTTTTCAGGTATGAAGGACCCATACTGTATATGTCTATGCTACAGATTATAATTAGCATCTTAAATGTATCATGAAATGCAAAAGAGAGTCATGGCAACATTGTCTAAAACATAATATGCTTCTAAAATTGCACAGCATAGACATCACCACATATAACATATTACAGGAATCTTGGAATAATCAGTGGATAACTGAAATGCTTGGGTTGGTTCCCAAGAATTTCCTTCTATCCTCCAACACAGCCCCAAATCTTGAAACCCACCCACCCCATCTTGTGTTATTCAGATGCTCATAATGTGCTGAAACCCACTGCAGAATATTATATAGGTAACTTGCTAAATAGCTAAATCAGGTCTTTTTACTAGTGGGTTGTTTTCTTTTAAGCAGGAAGGTAAAAGGAAGCTGGAAAGACTATTTCCATAAAGCTGAAACGTTAAAACCAAACCACCACCCCCAACAGCACCCTGTATCAGTTTGCTGCTATTGGAACTCTCTATCAGCTGCAATTTTTGCACTGGATTTTAAAAAACTAAGTCTTCAAATTGGCCAGAATCCTATTGGTTAGTCACATTGGTGTAGGTGCAATGGAATGAACATCAGCAGCAAAGTCCTGCTAATTAAAGAGGAGCCATATGCATCCCTCATTACACATCAGTTCATACAACTGGCATGTGATAAAGGATATGAGTAGTGAGTTAACTAGTAGCAATTTGCTGCTGCAATGTATGCCACAACATTTATGCCAGTGTAGGCATTAATAGTTAAATGTACTGTATTCTCAAAGGCTTTTTTGCAAAATAAAGTATACATTAAAATGTTTCTATGAATGTAAGTGTTAGAATTCATGTTCAGCCATTTATGCAAAAAAGCTTGAAGGCTTTTTGTAGCTGGTCCCACAGCTACAAATATTCAATCACAGACAGAGTTCTAACTCCTGTCCCCTGCGAAGGCTTTTTGTAGCTGATCCCACAGCTACAAATATTCAATTATCCCACACAGTACACCAGAACACAGACAGAGTTCTAACTCCTGTCCCCTGAAGATGTCAGCCACAGAGACTGGTGAAACATTATGAAGGAAAACCTTCAGAACACATCCAAACTGCCCCGAAAAACCTACAACAGCAATTAATAGTTACAGTTTATTCAGCCAATCAGATTACACAATCACTACCTTGGTGCATGCGCTCGTAAGGATTATGTTATGATGTTATGGGAAAAACAAAAATTCATTTCAAGTGAGGGCTGTACTGTCCTAGTAGACATTGGCCTCAATGTTATGATGTTATGGGACAAACAAAAATTCATTTCAAGTGAGGACTGTACTGTCCTAGTAGACATTGGCCTCAATGTGAACTTTGCCTTCAGTCTAATTGACTGCATTATTGTGTCAGGTTTAGTAGGAAGATTAATTTCATCCTTTCAACAATGCTGCAGTTAGTCAGTACTACAAGGAGCTCACAACAAAGCACTAAAACCTGAATAAATGTATTAGGTTATCATGTATGTCAAATGGCAGCGAATGCCATCTCTGCAATTTTTTTCAGCAGAAAACATGAACAAATGAGGGAAAGGGAACAGGAGGGAAAGTTTTTGGAAAGGGAGATATATATAAGACTTGGAAAATGTTTGTTAAACAATTTGGTATAAAATGTTTTCCAAACATGTCAGTTGAACCATTAATTTAGGATTCTTGATTACTTATTTGTTTATAATGTTTTCATATAAACAACATCACATCTGGCAGAACAAAGTATGACTGAAACCCTACAGGCCACACAACAGAAATTAAACAAAAAACAGGAGCACATTAAGAAATCTAGATGCTGAATGATGAAAGCTAAGGCATTTGAACTACTATGAGCAGCAGTGGAATTTCTGCCACCTAGTGGTCATTAAACCTGTTACCATGTGATATTTTCATTGACTACATTTGGTTTTCATTTAAGCCCCGAACAGTGTCTTAATTAGCCAGAACGTGAATGCAACTGGTTCATTCCTGCTTCAGCCCTCCCTTTGCTCAAATGAGTTAACAAACCAGGAAAAGGAAAATTCATATGCTCTGAGCCAACAATTATGACTTTTGTACTTTAAAAAGACAAGATTCTTAAACCAAATTTTGGTTTAAGCCTATAGCCTAGAATACAAGCCAGCCTTTTCTGATCACAATAAACCACAGTCTTGGATTTTGCTATCACGTAAAGTTTTCTTATAAAGGACGGGATGAAGCCACAATCACTGGGTGATATCTAGCATGTTGCTTTTTCTTTTTCTGGTTTATTAGTAATCATTCATGGCTTAACATTATGTGTGCAGCCAGTGTGATAGTAGAAATACTACAAAAAACCTCAGAAAACTCTGCTTTTGCACATATTTACTTAGAAGTTAGTTCCATTGAATCTAATTGGATTTATTCACCTGTTTTTGCGAACAAAATATACAGCCCAGTCTTGTACATGTGTACTAAGAATTTAGTCATATTAAATTTAATTGAAAGCTGCAGTGGCTGAAATACTGTTGTGTGGTTATGGAAATAACGTAACTTCTAGACATGAAGTGCTACTATGTTGAAAAATCTCTGTAAACATAATTTGTTGCATGCCAGGACACACCACTCAGTTTGCAATGGATAATGTTGATAGAGATTATACTTAAGGAAATTTGCTTTCAAAATTTATCTTGTCTGTGTAATTGTGTGGCAGGATTTCAGCCAGTATGTTGTAATATTGTAGCCTACAACTGAAAAGGTATTTGAGATGTTTTTATTCAGCCTTTGTTAAATTCTATATTAATAAATGTTTATTTAACCAATTGTATAGGCATAGTTTATATCCTTCTTTTTCTCTGTCATTACTTAAGAATATGAGCAAAGGTTGTGTTAAGTAGTGCCTATGATGTCATGTTTTCATCACTGTGGGTGTTCCCAACCCTTCAGATGCCTAGTTTTTGCTGACTTGTAAAACTGCCTTAAAATGTTTTCCTAAACTAAATCTGTTGCAGAGCATGATGTCCTTACTTGTAATTATATGCTGCAATTTTCTTTCTGCAGGCTTTCATTTATGGTTATTGTGGGCTTGCATTACTTATTTATTTTGATTGCAATATAACTACATAAAATGAATGTCTTTAGTATGAAAATACCACTAGATGTAACAAAAATAGATTCAAGTAAATGTAGCCGTATACTTTCAGAGCATATTGACCTATTGTCCAACCCACTTTCCTTGTTTTATTGACTATAAATAATAAAGTATTTCTTGCAGATAACTTATGCATTGTAACCCTGTGCTTCTTTGCTCAGAAGTAAATTTTACCATGCTCAATGACACTTAGTGTTCAGCAAAAAGTGCACAGCATTACTTCTTTAGACTTTTACGTGAGAGCATTAGTCCTGTCATTCTGCTTTTGTTAAACTAGATGCTTCATGACTAATGGAATGAAGTGCATGAGAAGACTGTTTAATAATTTAATTTATGTTTGTAATAGCAGTGTGATGTTAATGTTATAATGCCATCCTTTATACAACAGATGATTCATGTATTTTTATTTAATGCATAAACGTTTGGGTTTACAATCAAACAAACTACATTTTAAATCAGGTTTTAGTTAAAATACAATATATGTATTTAACAGTGTAATTCTATGCATATCTACTAAGGAATAAGCTCCAACAAGAGTAGTGGAATTTACTTCCAGGTAACTGTGTAAAAGACTTCAGCCATGAGGGATGATATTAAACAGTATGAAGTACATGAAACAAAGAAAAGTGAAGCACAATAGCTTGTATTCAGACAAAGAGAAACTCCCGTAAAACCCCAGTATCCACCCATGTTATTAGAAAGCTGTTAGCTGCAGTATCAAATTGCATCAGAAATGTACATGCAGGTATGCTAACTAATCTTTACTTCTTTTTTGCCTGGTAAAGGAGCTTCCCAAATTTACAATACTTAAGTTTAGCTTATTGCAGAAAATTCACAGACAAAGGTTTACAGTACCTCGGCACTGGAGGAGGATGTCACAAGCTCATCTATTTGGATGTTTCAGGCTGCCTCCAGGTTTGAATTTCAGTTTCCTTCTTCATAGTACAGGAAAGGGAATCCTCTAAAAGGACTGGCAGTACCCGGCAGTCATAGTATACTAAACTGGTGAAAGCGCTGCAGCAAACTTTTGAGAGGTTTTAAATTACATTACCACAGCTGCTTAAATTTTTCTGAGCAATAGCACTATAGGCTTTTGGCTTTTTTCCCGAAAGGGTGTAAGTATAAACAACCAGTCCTTATTGCATAATGAAAGCATGCATTACTTTGGGGCTGGACTTAAAACATTCTTGCTTTGTGCTGTGTTACTTCCATATATACAATTCGAGTGTCCAGATCTGCTTAGCTTAAAAATACTCACGTGTTATTTATTGAGCAAATAAAAATAAAGTTCCTGAGGGGGGCAGAATTTTCTGAAAAAGAAATCAAATTGCCAATACACTTTCTAATAGCAGCTTTCTGCTTTTTTTTTTTAAGTCTAATATGGAATACTTACTTGCTACTGTTTCAGCAAGGTCTTCCACCTATATACTCCCTTTGGATTAAATTTTGGATATCTTTGACAGCATGAGAGGATTTTAAAACTCTAGGGAAAAAAATAAAATAAAACTATGTAGACAATCAAAATTGTGTTATGTCTGCTTGGGTACAAACAGCTTCATTATTATATAAAAAAGGCTGTGTAGACAAGTTCATACGGTCGGAGCATAACTTACAGAGTTCCATACATATTCCTTTGGAAAGGAAATAGTTTGATAATTCTTATAGAATTCAGACAGTTGTGTGTCTGTTAGTTTGGGAACAAAATTAAACTGTCCAAAAATACGGAACTGGCTTTTGCATTAGTTGGGGAGGGGTGTATTCATTATGTACATAGAAATATAGTCATTTGTAAATTAAAATCAGAAGAGAATGTTGAAGAGAATGTTCTGATCTTTTTCAAGGCCCATGCTCAATGTCTTCTCGTACCATGCTGAGTCTGTACGTGAAGGGGGGGATGATACGATTGTCCTGTGCAGAGCTGGCTCTCTATTGAAGTAGACTGGGGTGATTGTTTCTGGTAGCAAAGTATTGGGATGCAGGCAGGATGACCAGAGCCCCTGATGTCTATCCTGGGAAAATCCTGTTCCTCAGCTGTGCCTCCTCTTTCTACTCTGCTATGGACTATCATATATCCTTTTCCTCTTCCTCCTGGCCTGTCCGATCCTTCCAGCACAAGGGTACCAACCTGACTGCTTGTCATACTTCCCTTTACTTCATTTTTGTTGTTCTTGTTTAGTTGTTTAGTCATGTCCGACTCTTCATGACCCCATGGACCAGAGCACACCAGGCCCTCCTGTTTACCACTGCCGCCCAGAGTTGGGTCAAATTCATGTTGGTAGCTTCGATGACACTGTCCAACCATCTTGTCCTCTGCCATTCCCTTTTCCTCTTGCCTTCACACTTTACCAACATCAGGGTCTTTTCCAGGAGGTCTGGAAAAACCATAATTTTGACTATGTGTACTTTTGTCGGCAAGGTGATGTCTATGCTTTTTAAGATGCTGTCTAGGTTTGTCAGCACTTTCCTCCCAAGAAGCAGGCATATTTTAATTTTGTGGCTGCTGTGACCATCTGCTCTGATCACGGAGCCCAGAAAAGTAAAATCATTCACTGCCTCCATATCTTCCCCTTCTATTTGCCAGGAGGTGATGGGACCAGTGGCCATGATCTTAGTTTTTTTTATGTTGAGCTTCAGACCAGTTTTGGCGCTCTCCTCTTTCACCCTCATTAAAAGGTTCTTTAATTCTTCCTCACTTTCTGCCGTCAGAGTGGTGTCATCTGCATATCAGAGGTTGTTGATATTTCTTCCGGCAATCTTAATTCCAGTTTGGGATTCCTCCAATCCGGCCTTTCCACATGATGTATTCTGCATACAGTATAAGTTAAATAAGCAGGGGGACAATATACAGCCTTGTCATACTCCTTTCCCAATTTTGAACTAATCAGTTGTTCCATATCCAGTTCTAACTGTTGCTTCCTGTCCCACGTATAGGTTTCTCAGGAGATATATAAGGTGGTCAGGTACTCCCATTTCTTTAAGGACTTGCCATAATTTGCTGTAGTCCACACAGTCAAAGGCTTTTGCATAGTCAATGAAGCAGAAGTAGATGGGAGTTCTCGGTCCACATACTGCTGAAGCCTACCTTGTTGGATTTTAAGCATAACCTTGCTAGCGTGTGAAATGAGTGCAATTATATGGTAGTTGGAACATTATTTGTCACTGCCCTTCTTTGGTATTGGGATGTAGACTGATCTTTTCCAGTCCTCTGGCCACTGCTGAGTTTTCCAAACTTGCTGGCATATTGAGTGTAGCACCTTAACAGCATGATCTTTTAAGATTTTAAATTGTTTAACTGGAATGCCATCACCTCCACTGGCCTTGTTGTTAGCCATGCTTTCTAAGGCCCACTTGACTTCACTCTCCAGGATGTCTGGCTCAAGGTCAGCAACCACACTATCTGGCCAGAGGTCTCTGGGCGGCTTACATGTCCATCTTTTCACTAAAGGTTCCTTTAACATCTCCAATTTTCTTGAATAGATCTCTGGTTTTTCCCTTTCTATTCTTTTCCTCTATTTCTTTGTGCTGGTCATTTAAGAAGGCCCTCTTGTCTCTCCTTGCTATTCTTTGGAAGTCTGCATTCAATTTTCTGTAGTTTTCTCTATCTCCCTTGCATTTTGTTTCCCTTCTCTTCTGTGCTATTTGTAAGGCTTAGTTGGTCAGCCAATTTTCTTTCTTGCATTTCCTTTTCTTTGGGATGGTTTTTGTTGCTGCCTCCTGTGCAGTGCTATGAGCCTCCATCCATAATTCTTCAGGTACTCTGTTCACCAAATCTAGTTCCTTAAATCTGTTCTTCACTTCCACCGTGTATTCATAAAGGATTTGGCTTAGATTATACCTGACTAGCCCAGTGGTTATTCCTACTTTCTTCAGTTTAAGCTTGTGTTTTGGTATTAGAAGCTGATGATCAGAGCCACAATCAGCTCCGGGTCTTGTTTTTGCTAACTGTATAGAGCTTCTCCATTTTTGGCTGCAGAGAACATAATCAATCTGATTTCGGTATTGCCCATTTGGTGATGTCCATGTGTAGAGTCGCCTCTTGTGTTGTTGGAAAAGAGTGTTTGTGATGACCAGCTTGTTCTCTTGACAAAACTCTATTAGCCTTTGCCCTGCTTCATTTTGAACTCCAAGGCCAAACTTACCTGTTGTTCCTTTTATCTCTTAACTCCCTGCTTTAGCATTCTAATCCCCTATAAATGAGAAGAACATCTTTCTTTGGTGTCATTTCTAGAAGGTATTGTAAGTCTTCATAGAATTGGTCAATTTCAGCCCCTTCAGCATGGGTGGTTGGTGCATAAACTTGGATTACTGTGATGCTGAAAGTTCTGCCTTGGATTTGTATTGAAATCATTCTGTCATTTTTGAGATTGTATCCCAATACAACTTTTCCCACTCTTTTGTTGACTATAAGGGCTACTCCATTTCTTCTATGGGATCCTTGCCCACAATAGTAGATATGGTAATAGTCTGAACTGAATTCATCCATTCCGTCCATTTTAGTTCACTGACACCCAGGATGGCAATATTTATTTTTGCCATCTCCTGTTTGACCATATCCAGCTTACCAAGGTTCATAGATACGACCTGAGGGGCTCATCTTCCAGCGTCATATCTTCCAGCGTCATATCTTTTAGCCTTTGTTTCTGTTCATGAGGTTAGGTGGGGGTAAGAAATGCATACAGATAGAGGAAGGTTGCTTCTTTAGGTACCCTGTGGCACAAAGGCCAAACCGTTAGTATTTTCATGACCACAACAAAAATGAAAAAGAAAAATAATTGGGGAAGGGGGAGAGAAACTGACATCCTTATTGTTGCCTATTTGCTCAAAACTCATGCAACAATCATCCTGCCTGGTGGAATTGCTGTAACTGGATATATATATTGGATATATATATACTGGATATATACATTTGTACTATATATATATAGTACAAAGTAACCTCAGTCTGAGCTCTCCTTAGTACAGTACTTTGGTGGTAGAAGTCTTCATGGAAGATCTTAGGCTTTAGTGTCACTCGCCTCATCCCCTTATACAGTTCACTCTGTTGCATTACTTTTGGCTTATCCTTTCCTTCATTCTATTTGCTGACCATCTTTTCAATCTTACAAATGCTGTATGGAGTATGAAGGATCTCATGTGCCATTTATCCACCTTTGGGGTGAACAGTAGCTCTTTGCTCTGCCTCATACCTGCTCCAGAATAGCATACAACCCACCAGTTCAGTCATTTGTGCATATTTGTCTGAAGATAGGGCACATACTCTGTATTAATTGTGAATTTATAGCATACTGCAGTAGATGTAACTCCAGTATCTTCTTTAGGATCTATTTTCTAAAAACATTTTGCTCTTCAAAATCAGATCTCAGTGGAAGGCTTCAGGAATATTGGCAACAGCTGTAGTGGTATCCAACATCTGACAATTAATGAAATGCCTACTCTGACAGACCGTTGTATTCAAGTAAGAAACAATAACCTTCATACAGCCTTGCATTTAAGAACTAACCTGATAACCATTAACAAGAACACACTTATGCAGACAACTGTATTAAGTTTTATACAGTAATACCTTGGTTTATAAATGCCTCGGTTAACATAATTTTCGGTTTATGAATGGAAATCTGTTGAAAATAATGCCTTGGTTTACGTGGGTTTTTTGAGTTTTGGGGTTTTGTATTGTTGTTGTTGTTTTGTTTGTTTATGAAGGAAGTTTCCCCAGGATGCATAGCGCCGCCCCTGTTCCTATGGCAATCCGTGTTTCCATTGACGAATTTTTCACTTTACGTAACATCCCATAGAACACATTCATTTCATAAATCGAGGTACTCCTGTATAGGCAAATGAGCAGGCTTGCAGAAGAGGAATGGAGTGCTCCACCCTTCCTTTGTTGTCTTACAAGGCTGCTTCCCCGTGTAAGGAATTTATTCCACAAAAAGAAGCAAAAGCTTCTTTTGATGTAACTGAAGCTGAACTATCAGTTCTATAGCAAAACCATAAAGCAAGCTAGAAGTGCATGTTTTCTGTGCTCTCAAATCACGTCTGATTTATGGCAACTCTGATAGGTTTTTAAGGTACATGAGATATTTCAGGAGTTGTTTTACCACTACCACTCCCCCAGTGAGTTTCCGTGATCAAGCAGGAATTCAGACCAGGGTCTCCTAAGTCCTAGTCTGACACTTTATCCCCTATGCCATACTTATTCTTTAAAAACAAAAGTGCTCTAGAATAAAATTAATTCTAATTTGGTTTTAATCACAAACAGATTTGTTTTGATAAGCATTGCAGGTTCACAGGTGGTGTCAGAATTTTCTTTTACTGTATGTTTATCTTTTCGCAAAAGTGTGATTCTCCAGTACATTGTTAAAAATCTTTAATGCACCAACGGCCAAAATTGTATCAGTGGTCATTAAAGGTTTGCATAACTTGCAGTAGTTAACTGTGGTTAACTGATGAAGTGTTAGGGTGCTTCATCACACTAGATGTACAATCCTGTCATACTGTAAAACACTCAAGGGTGCTTTGTAATAATCAACATCTAATCTGTTGCGGTGTTTCTTAAGCATTTATTTCAGTTTTGAAAAGCATTTTGTTGTTGTTTTGGAGAAATTTTGTTTTGTTCCTGTTGCACAAGACCACATTAGTTATTTATAATGATACAATATTCAGTTAAGGTCCTTGGAGCTTCATACTTCTGAATGCTCATGTTCAGCTGATGAGATAGAACAGAAAAGTTGTGCAAATGTAAATAAACAATGCATATAAGCTTGCTATTTAATTACCTTTAAATACTTTTCTTTTAAAGGCTTTAGCTGAAAAATGCAAACAGATTGCATCTGTCGAATTCAACGAGTGCCCCCATGTTTCTGATACAGGGTTGAAAGCACTTGCTGCTTGTAAACTTGCTAAAATAAAAATAGAAGGTTAGTAATGCTATCTTATTTCCTGAAAAATTCGTCATATGTAGTTAATGCTGTTTAATGTATGAAACAGGTATTGTGGCCTAGGCTGATGTGACAAGATGAGTGTTGTTTCAACAGGAAGTAATCGGGTTACTGACCTTAGTTTCAAACTGATAAGCAAATTCTGGCCCTGCATGAACCGTATTGGTGTAGCGGACTGCCAGAAGATAACAGATGTGGGTCTCAAGCTTATTGCAGCATTGGATCATATTATTATCCTGAATTTATCAGATTGCATGAGGTACTGTTTTTATTCAAATAAGTAAATTATTCCTTTTTTGACAAAATAATTCAGTGTTCCATAAATTATTTGAGGATTGAATCTTTATATATTGCTATTTATTTTTTGTTTTTAATACTGTATCCCCTAACACTATTTCTTGGAATTAAGTGTCATTAAAAGTAATTGAGCTTGCTCTTCAGCAGATTTGCTTTGATCAGGCTGCCTTCAGAGCTGTAACCAAACAGAAGTATGTTTCCAGCACACATTGGTTTAGTTTCCAGGTCTAAAAATCTCAATGAAAAGGATCCACAAAAATTGGCAAGATAACATCTAGTTTAATTAATTGCGTGCCATCAAGTCAGTTCTTATGGTGACCTGTTTCAGGGTTCTGTAGGTATAGAATACTTAGAAGTGGTTTATCGTTCCCTTCTTTTGAGGGCATACTGAGGCTGTGCAGCTTGCCCAAGGCCACACACTGATGCACACTGATGGCACTTCTGAGATGCACAATGCAGAGTTGAACATCTGACCTCTGGCTCCGCATTGGCTCTTCTGGGATGCACAATGGAGAGTTGAACATCTGACCTCTGGCTCCGCAGCCAGATGCCTAACTTACTGAGCTTTCCAGCTAGCTAATATTTATCTTATATGCTTAGATATAGGTGGACAGATATTAATTGCTCCATATTTTAGTTTATTTAATACCCCACCTATCTTGTCATTGCGACCACTCTAGGAAGCTTCCCGACAAATCAAGAATAACATATACATATACCAAAATAAGAAAATAGTTAATATTAGAATTTACTATTAGGTTTATAAATATTACGACACAATATTTTCTGTTCATGATTTAGAATCAGTGATGCAGGAATAAAAGCCTTTGTTGAAGGTTCTTCTGGCTCAAGAATAAGGGAACTCATCTTGGGCAATTGTTCTTATGTCACAGATGGTGCTCTTACGAAAATAGCTCAAAGGTAATATATCATAAGTTATTATTTTGTGATACTTAACACTTAGGAACTTTAAAAGAGTTTTCTTGGAAATTCTAATTTGAATGAATTCTGCTTCCTGTATCAACTTAGAACCTCTTTAATACAGCGAATGTTTGATGCTCCTGTGAGCCAAGGAGGGTAGTGGCTCACCATACCACTTTAGAGTGAGGGCCATTCTCCATTTAGACCAGAGAATAAGTGGCTACATTTCATTGAAATCGGTAGAACTCACTGCTCAATTTGAGAGCATGTTTAATTATAAATAACTTATTTCAGTGTACGAATGCAGGCAAGGCGATACCTTTATTAAACCACTAAAAATCAAGCAATCAGCACAAGCTTTCATGGAAATCTACTTCTCCAGGCATGCACCAATATACTCTGAGTGCAGAAAAATTATAAATGAGAGTTCTAAAATTCATGGCACAAATATACCAGGTATGTTACTTAAGATGAGGTCAAAACTGGTTACAACTGGCTTGAGTGTGTGTGGCTTAATGCTTCACCGCTGGTAAAATGTGGTTTTTCCCACCTAGCTATTCAGACAGGTGGCAGCTCCTCCTACACTCTCAACAAAGGTATAACTTCTCCTGCATTTATATTGTTTAAGGACCACACAACTCTGTCCTTTGTTCATTCAGTGTGGCATACAGTACTTCCTTGAATGTATTAACTGCTCAGAATCCTGCAACATAAGTGTAGTAAATTGCACTCAGGTAGGCCCATTGAATAAATAGGGATTTAGTGAATCAACTTCTCTGTATGTCCTGTTGATTCAAATGGGCCTACTCTAACTGTGACTTTAGCATAGTAAAATGCAATTAGAGTAAGACCATTTGGATTAACGGAGCTTATGCAGGAGTTGACTCACTAAATCCCCATTGATTCAGTGGGCCCGCTTAAATATGATTTACTACACTAAGGAGCAGGATTTTTGACCACTGTGTTGTATTTTTAATTGTTTAAGTGTGCATTATATATATAGACTCCTGTCTCCGGTGGAGAGTTCACTTTGGAGATGCCCTAGAGAATGGGTCCACCCATGCCCATGATATATTCTTGGCAATGACATGTGGAGAGGCAGTGGGATGTGCAGGTAGATGCTTTCTGAGTACCCAATCTCACCTACTCACACCACATATTTTAATTTTCAAGGATTATGTTAGTATACAGAGTTGCCAATTACTTGGGCAGCCAAATGATTCTCCATTTCAGAATTTTCTTTGTGGCTACCTCATTCTCAGATATTTCTGGTCTGCTGTCATCAGATGTGAGTCTGGAAGTGTCCTTTGAAAATCTAAGCCAAAGGCTGTGTAAATATGGGAGTATGTGAAATGACATCATTTCTTGTGTTTTCTTTAGATGCCCAAATTTGATTTACCTTAATATCTGTTACTGCCAAGCTGTGACTGATGCTGGGATTGAGGCTTTGATACTGATATCCTCATTGGCTTATATTAATATTTCTGGAATTGATATCACAGACCAGGTGAAAATATAAAGACATGAAAAAAATGTTCTAGAATATTTTTATTAGTTATTGAAATGACTTAACCAGAACTGTGTTACAGTGTTCAAGATGCAGATATTTTATGCATTTCTTTGTATCAAAGCTATTTTCTGCACTATTTTCTGTTTGCTTTACTCACTGGCCTTGCCATCCTCTTGCCTTCTGGTTAATGCAGAACATGCAAAAAGGTAGCATTAAAAAAAGACAGTGAGGCAAAGCAATTCATGAAATGTAGAGCAGTTCATACTCCACGCGGGCGATCACCCCACAGTTTTGGGATCAGGTGTTCATACTGTGGGTTACCTGTGGTTAAATGTGATCAACTCAAAACTATGTGGCCTAGATATTACTGAATCTTGCAAAATCAGTATGTAACTGGGAATAGTTGTCTAATCTTTAAAAAGGGGGTGGATAATATGTTCCATCAATGGCCAAAATGTATCCTATTAACAGTCCTCAAATATGTTATTTTCTCAAATATGAAGCAATATTCATAATTTGAATAAGATACAGAGTATGATTTATTGACAGTCTTTTTTTGCTGTTATCCTAAACTTTATATTATATATAGCCTTGTTATGCATTTGGAAGGCAAACAGCAAAACGTCTGGTATCTTCCAGCTGGAGAAAATCATATAGTACTAAATAACAATATTTTTAAAATGTTCTATAGAAACACTGTTATTTTATATCAATGTGCCAGTAAAACCTAAGCTAATATTTATCTAAAACATTTACAGGCCATGGACGCACTTGGAAAACTTTGGAAAATTAAGGAGATTAATATATCAGAATGTAAGCAGATTTCTGATTTTGGAATGAAGGTAAAACAAGACTTTAAATTTATAGCTGTTACAAGCATCATTAAACACATGTCATTCTTGAATTATTTAGCAATGTAACAACAGTGCCAGATTATGTGCTCAGGTTCCGTGTTATATTCTACCTTTTATTATCCTTCCACTTAATTTTTGTATGGGCCTGTTGGGGGCCTGTCATTCCAGGAACTAATCAGATCCATACCTGTTTAAGTTAAGTCTTATAAAATGTGATATTCAAAGCTATTAATTCTGCCCATGTGTTGAGCTTTAATTGATTAACTCATAGTTGCACTTTGTCCCTGTCTAAACTCCTTTCCTCCTCCTTTCCTTTTCTACTCCTTCCAAACGCCTTTCCTCCCCCTTTCCCTCTCCACCCCTTCTAAACTTCTTTCTGCCCCCCTTTTTCCCCACCCCTTTTACATTCCTTTCCGTGCCCAAAAAGCACGGTAATCTATGTACCTGGGTAGGTGGGGCTCATTAACCTTGGAAGGCAGCCCATCTAGGAGAAGGAAAACTCCAATATCAAACCTCCACTGCCTTGTGGCTATATCCACCAATGGAAAAGGATTCAGGAGTTAACTTCAAGGCAAAATCCAGAGCAGGAGTCCCGTAGGCAATTTGTGATGTTCTGGCAACTCTTGCGACGTCGTTAGAACCAGTTGTATTGGCCCTTGCCTTTCCATTGGACTATTTCAGTGACATGGAAAGGAGGGATTTTCTGCTTGGGTAACAGTCGATCCTTCATATTATTTTACCCAAGCTTCATGCTCTGGAGAGGACACTCCAGCTTCGCATACAACATTGAAATAACACGGGAAGTACAGTGGACCCTTGACTTACAGACGGCTTGACTTACAGACTTTTTGAGTTACAGACTTCTCTGGCCGCAAAATTTAGGTTTGACTTGCAGCCTGAGAATTGACTTACAGACCAGAAAAAACCCAAAATGGAACAAAAACGGCCTGTTACGGGATTCATCGGTTTTCAATGCGCTGTAGGTCAATGGAGACTTGACCTACAGACTTTTTGACTTGAGAACCGCCTTCCAATACGGATTAAGTTCTCAAGTCAAGACCCCACTGTAGCAGTTACCAGTTATAAGTCTTTGCTCAATTGGCATAGAGCATGACACCAGGGTCTACCTCCGATGGTGGGAGAGGCCATTGCATCTCACTAGGTAGGTACTGCCCGCCTTAAGCTGGGTAGCCTCCAGCCAGTAGAGTGCTACCTCACCACGGTCTATAAACCTCACAGGGTGCATGGGGTTTAGGATGAAAGCCGACATCAGATCGATAACCCTGCACCATGCAAGAATCAGATGAAAACTTCTGCCCTAAAGTTGGGCACCTGGAATGTTCGGACAATGACCCCTGGCTTTTCTGACAACCTGCAGGAAGTAGGCGACACACGCAAGACTGCTGTCATCGACATGGAAGTGAGGAGGCTGCAGATGGACATTGTTGCCCTGCAAGAGACGAGATTGCCAGACATGGGATCTGTCAAAGAAAAAAATATCTCATTCTTTTGGAAGGACAAATCATTGAATGAGACCAGGGAATATGGTGTTGGCTTTGCCATCAGGAATACTCTGCTGAGAACCATTTTTCCATCTACTGTGGGGAGTGAAAGAATCCTGTCTCTGCAGCTCCGCTCATCAGGGGGACCGGTCACCCTCATTAGTGCATATGCACCAACGCTGTTGTCTACAACAGAAGTCAAAGACAAATTCTATGATGATCTGGCAACTACTATCAAAAAAAACCCCCAGGAGAGAGTCGCTGTTCATTCTTGGATACTTTAACGCTAGAGATGGTGCTGATCACAATTCTTGGCCCACTTGTCTTGGCTGTTTTGGCATTGTCACATTGTACAAGAACAAAGGAGACCAGGGCGACTGCGATAACTACCATGGTATTTCTCTTCTCAGCATTTTAGGGAAACTGCTTGCCTGTGTTGTGCTGAAGAGGCTCCAGGTGCTTGCAGACAGAGCCTATCCAGAATCACAGTGTGAATTTTTAACCTAATAGATCCACAACTGATATGGTATTTTCCCTCAGACGGTTGCAGGAGAAATGTAGGGAACAATGACAGCCACTCTTTGTGGCCTTCATAGATCTTACAAAGGCCTTTGATTTGGTTAACAGGGATGGCCTTTTTAAAATACTTGCTTTCTGTGTCATCCTTCTTAGTGTTTTATCACCTCCATCCATGTGATTTGCAGTAGTCTTTCAGTAGTAAAAAACAGTTGCAGCATGATACTGTCCAGTGTGGACAGGTAAAATCCTAGTAAAGTTTTTTAAAGTGTTTGTTTCATAAAAAGCTTTCTGTTTATAGCTTTAGCCTGTATTATTCTCTTGTGAGCCTGCAGAAGCATTAGAGATTAATTGCCAGTTACGATGCTGTTGATACACTTCATTTAGCCAGTTCCTATGGGACTATTGGTTTAATTATTAGCTTTCCTTCAAGCCTTCCCCACCCCAGACAATATCTGTTAAAAAGTTGTAATTATTTTTGTGATTAAACAGAAATGTATTTTAAAACGTGCATTTTTAATCTTTCAGTACTCTTGACTCCATCTTAGGAAGTGTTTTCATTTCGTTATTGTTTTTATTTTATTATTTATGTTTATATTTATTTAAAATATTTCCACCCCACCTTTGTTCTTGAAAAGAACCCAAGGTAGCTGTCGCAAACCCCCCAGTGTCCCCTGTATGTTTTCCCACTCTCGCAGGTTCACCTTTGGACGCGACTTGTTCTTTTCACTCTTATTCGCTGCCACCAGAGGGTATTACCCTCACTGTACCAATTATGAATCTCACACACTTGCTGCCAGATATAACAATATGGTTTGATAGGTTAATCACAGAAGGAAAATCATGGATGTTCTTTTATTATTCATTCAATAAACTTGGATATAATTACATATATGCTTGTTTGAATTTATTCACTTTAATCAAGGTCTCAATATATTCTGTCTATCTAGGTACTTATTACTTTTAACTCTTTTATATTATCTAATGCACCAACTTTCCAATCTCTTGTCTAAACACATCACTATCTTCTCCTTAAGTGACCCTCTGTCTCTCCCAGTTCTCTTGACTCCGCCCCTCCTGTCCTGTCATAGGCTCCTGCACTAGAGCTCTAAAATGACTGACAGGAGTGACGTGTGGGCTGTCCACCACAGTAGCTTACAACACTGAAAGACAATATTTGAAGTTGAAAATAATGAGTATACAACAGTGATTAACTTCATTAAAAGATAATATTTAAAACTAAGAACAATGAGAAAAGTGGCATCTTACATCAGTAAAAGACAATGGTTGCAAGACGATGATTTTGCCACTGATCGATGCTTCGCAATCGGGTGTTTTCGGGACCGATGCTTTGCAGGGCAGCCATTTTAACAGCTGATCGGTGCTTCGCAAAATGGCTTCCCTATGGGTGATCTTCGTAGAATGACGAGGATTTTCCCCCATTGGAATACATTAAACAGGTTTCGATGCATTCCAATGGGGAAATGGTTTTCGCTAGACAATGTTTTCGCTAAATAGCGATTTCAATGGGACGGATTATCATCGTCCTGCAGGGCACCACTGCACCAACCTGGAATTTAGCAGCAATATTTTCCACACAGTTGCCCTGACACCATGGCTATCCAAACTGTTTGAATCTCCAGACAGCTTGGAGGAACAACACCTTGTTGCCTCCCTTCTAACGCAGTGTTGTCGTTGCTGCCTCCACAGTTGTTTCTTCCTGTCCTGTATAATTCTGATGGCTGCTCTCTGATTCCTCTCAATACTCTTCCTCTTACAGAAACACATCCCTCCACTAGCAGACAAAAACCTTAAGTTAAAATCCCTCCTTATGTGCATAAAACAAAACAGATAGCAAGTAGCAGTAATGGTACAATAACCAAGGCGGGAAGGGGAGTGACTTCAGGGAAGGTCTTCATTGTATTAGGTCTAGCATGGAGGGAAATACAAGGGGTGAGTTGCAGTGAAAGGTTTCTGGTAGAAAGTTCTACTGGATGCTTGGCATCCACTGTCTTGTCATAATATTCTTCATTCAACTCCAAGTGTAACACTAAGTGTGTACTGAGCATTGCACTTCATGTGGCAGCAAAGTTTTGCCTCTGGCAATGTGCCTTATATAGATACCTGGAAGTAGGAGGAGCAACAGACAGGCCCAGTCATGCAGACAGCTTTGCTGCTCACCAGTTCTGGCTTCACCTCCAGACCAGCCAAGTGTTCGATAAGAAGGGTATTCCTTAAACATATGTAACATTATTAATCCTGTCTTATTTAACAATAAAATTATATAGACCAGGCCTATGGTGAGATGCCTGTTACAGCACAGGGCTCCTATTGAAGACTGTCCGGACAGTGCAATTAGTGCAAAATATGGCTACTAAATTACTAACTGGGCTGGGCATTATGATCATATTCCATCACTGCTATGTTGGTTCCTGGAATATTCCCAGGATTGATTCAAAATGCTGCTTTTGACATGTGAAATTCTTCACAATTTTGGGCCAGGGCTCTAGATGGACATTTGTCTCCATATATGCTTTTAGATCTTGAATGGAAGGCCTCTTGTGGGTTTTCTTGCTAACTTGGATGAGCCGGTAGCAATCAGAGAAAAGTGTTTTTCAATTATAGCAGTTTAGTTGTGTTATGCTTTTTTTTCTGACTTTGTAGATTTTAGCATATTATATATATTAGCATTTTCACTGTACAAAGAGTACTATGAACTATTTTAGCCAGAGACCTATTGGTGTTTGCATAAGGTTTGCATAACTTGCTGTAGCTAATTATATCTAACTGATGAGTGCCAGGGCATGCTTTGCTGGTGTGCCTGATCATGTATCGGACTACTACACAATCAAGAAAAAAACAGCACTTCATCAATTAGTTACAATTAGCTACATCATGTTATATGAACTATGTGAACATCAATTGGATTCTGGCCTTTAATTAATTAACAGCTGGTTGTATACAGCCTTG